CCCATCCCCATCCCCCTTGCCTGGCCCCCATCCCACCTTACCGGCTCCCCCTCACGGAGGAGGGAGTGGGGAGAGGGCCCGCTCCGGTCCCGGCCGCGCCGCCTGCGCCTCTAGCCGCAACTTCCGGGTACCGCCTTCCCGCGGGAGCCACGCGCCGGTCACGTGACCACGCACAGGGGCGGAGCAGGGAGCGGCGGCCATTGCTAGCGAGGCGGGAGCGGGCGCCGGGCCGCCATTGTTACTGAGGTACAGCCGGGGGGGGGCAGAGTGCGCACGCGCAGGTGCCAAGTGCAGTTGTTGCAGGGGTAGCATCTTGAGGCTAGTCCACAAAAGTGGCCTGGGGCTCCTTCTTCTCTTTTCTGGGTGTCTGAGCCTTCAGGGTGTGCCCAGGGCTTCTGAGTGCCCTCAGGCAGCTCAGGAGCCTTGAAGGCTGTTCTTTTTTTTTTTAAAGAAAATGGAGTCTGGTCTTCCTAGTGCTAACAGGACTTGGAGAGCTGGAGCTTTGGGAGGGCGCCAAGGAGCGTGAGGCCTCCAGAGAGCCAGCTCTGAGCCCCACGTCCTTGAAAGCCTGCCCCTTTCCAGCAGCATTTTACCCCCTGGCTAAAGCTCATTGCTGGGGGGCGACGGTGGGATACATATGGTCGAACAGTGGCTCAACGAGGGGCTGTCGCGTGCCTTTAGATCCTTCCCGGGGTGCCGTGGGGTGCCGCAGATCATTAGTGCTGCTAGGTCACGATTCACGAGAGAAATGCTGTTTGCATGCAGGGATCCAGTGTTAAGCCATCCTGACTTGTTGCGGGGTTTCTTGATTCTTTGCAACAGGGCAATGGCTCTTGTTTTTCTATAGTCAAACAAGTGAAAGCTGAGAGCTGGCATTTTCTGTGGGAGGTTTTGAGCCTATGGGGGGGACCTCGAGTCTGAAAAGGTGGAGAACTGCTGTGCTAAAGAGCAAGGTCCAAACTCTGCTCTCCTGTGCAGACTTGCAACTCTAGTATTGTCAATGGAGGTATCTGCCCACCTGATGCCACGGGTTTGTTGGTTCAATTTTTACAAAAGAAGCTGAGGAAAGTTATGTTTTTCTCGTTTTCAAGCTGGCCATTTGGGTTTCGATCATGAGGAATAGAACTTGATGTTTTTCAGTGAATTTTGGCTGGTCCATAGGCCGTATCTATCCTGGTGCGAGCTGGCTCCAGTCACCTTATCTGATTTTGGATGGCTGCATAGTTCAAATCTACAGAACTGAGATGGCAGACTGGTTTAATTTGGAGGTAGTCGTGCTTTGAAAGTGGACAGTGGACTTATATTTTCCAGTAGGAATAGCAAGGACCAGGGGGAAAAAAAATCATTGACTAATTTTATAGAGCAAGTGTATGTGCAGCTGTTGTGGCAGATGGCTCTATCTGGAGAACTGCTCTCTGTTTAAAAAAAACAAACCCGTAGTTGAATACTGTTGAAAAGTATTTTAACGTCAAGGAAAGAGGTGTCTACAGAGAACAACTCTTCCCTCAGCCATGGCTACACATGCAGGAATCCTCAAATAAAATGAGATCATACTTTGGCGATTACAGGAACTGAAAAGAGTAATAAAATGGGGTTGTGTTGCCGTTTCCCTGCTCCATGCACGTATCATTTTGAACTTAGCCATGCCCCTAAAGGGAATATTTGGATCTAAGTTTGTAAACCAGAATAGCTTATTGCTAATAGAAGTTTTGAAAATGGTCTCTTGAAGGGGTTTGTTTTGTTCGGGTTTTTGTTCTCCTGTGTATGGAAAGGAAAAGTAATGAACTGTTACTGCCACCTACCAGGGGGAAAAAATCACAAATGCAGTATGATAAAACTGAAGTCTGTGATCTCTTGATACATACACTTGTTGAACTTTTCACACAACAGTTGTCCTACTGACTTCAACAGTACTGCTCATTGTATATATGCTATTCACATGTGCAAGTGGTCACTGCATTGGGGCCCTGGCTTATATGATGTATTTCATACAAATTCTCTCCTCAAACATCACACTGGTAGCTTTTCTACTGAGGGCCTCTGGACTGTTTGGTGAGCTGGGCCTGTGTAAAAATATATTCCATAATACCCTGTTATATGTCAAGGAAAATGGTCATAGCTATGAAATAGGGAGATGTATCCTTCAATGCAACATCCCTGAAAAGGTTCTAAGATTTAAAGGGTTATAGTGGACAAGCAACTCAGTGTAAGCATCTGCTGTAATGCAATAGCTGACAGGTTTAAAGAAGCCAAACTCAACAATGATATCTTTTCTAAGACACCCAGGAGAGAACCAACACCAGCAGACTTTCCTTATGCCTGAAGAAAGGTGTTTGTGCCTGAAAGCTTGCAGGGAACAATTTTTACAACTATTTAGTTCATCTATTAAAATATATCACATTTACCCAAAGAATCTTGTATCCCTAGATCCATGCACAGGAGAGTAATGAGGAGGAGCAGGAAGGGTGATCTTTACCTCTCTAAAAGGTCATATATGCTCTCAGCTTGAAAATTGCTCTAGTAGTGTTACCAGGTCATTGACACATACACGTTGAACTGAGTAGGTAGAGTAAATAGGGCTGAAGCTAAGATCTCTGCCTTTTCTTGATTGCAAGTCTTCTATTTGGATATTACATGTTAGCACTATTAGATCTTTTGCTTATATCTCAGGGAAGCATCCAGAAAGGAGGATTATGTATGCCATGTCATTCAAAATCCAAAATATTTTTTCAATCAAATATAGAACAAACAACTGTAGAAGAACATTACTCAACAAAAAATGAACCAAGCCAGCACAGTGAAGTCGTTCAAGCCAGCAGAATGATGGCAATAGGGTTTTAATGGTGTTTCTGAAGGGGCCTGCTGTGTTTTGATTTTGGATCTCTTCTCAGAAATGTTCTGTTCTAGTGTTAGGCAGAAGGCAGAATAGTGCTATGGAGTAACTCGATCAGAGATGCGTAGCCTGAGCTTTTGTGGGACTGAGCTCACTTCATCCACTGCCACTGTTAACACTCTGGGTTGCAGTGATTTTGTTTTGTTTTTTTTTTTTTTTGCTCAGTTAACTTTTTTTCCCCAAGCTTGCCAGGAGCTGGCTTCCTTTGCAGCTTCATCTTGTACTAATTTTTCCCTCAACCCTGGTCTGCAGTGCCTCGAGTGGTCACTAGTAGCTTGCACTGAAAGTCAGTGGTCACTGCCGTGGGGTAAGGATTCTTGTGGCTGACATCTTCTATTGGACCAAGTGCATGGCACAAATGAATTTTGTCATAGGAAACCATTTGTGTCCAAGCTGCAGATTCACCAGGCTGGGAGAGTCATGGTTATTATGTATGTTGAAGAAGTGAATCAACTGAACACTGTGACCAGTTCTGGTCCCCACTTCTCAAAAAGAATATAGAACTGAAGAGGGTCCAGAGAAATTCAGCAATCAGGATCATGAATGACTGGTGCCTCCCGTGACTGGGGGGGCACCAGGGTGGTGAGTGGGGACTGCCCGCAGACACCATCAGCAGTGTGTGTGTGTGTGTGGGGGGGGGGGGGGGGGGGGTGCAAGCAGTGACCACCAGCAGAAGCCTTTGGTGGCAGCCAATCTTGGGGGAGGCGGGACACATGCCCCCCCAACTGTGCCATCCCTACACATTGCCTATGACCAAGATGATCAGTGGTATGGAGGGGTACCATAAGTTCGGCAGTCAGGATCATGAATTACTGGTGCCTCCTGAGAAGGGGGGGGCACCATGGTGGTGAGTGGGGACTGCTGGCAGAAGCTGGCAGCGGCTTCAGTGGAAGTCAGTCTCGGAGGGGGGGCATGTGCCCCCCCTGTGTGTTGCCTATGATCAGGATGATCAGTGGTATGGTGGGGCTTCTGGATGAGAAGAGAATAAACAGACCAGGCCTGTTCAGTTTAGAAAAGGGGGGACATGATAAAAGTATACAGGTTTCCCTCCCAACCACTGGGGTTAGGTTCCTGAAAGTTCCCCCTGGTTGGCAAGACAAAAAGCTCATGGGAAAAATGGCAGCCACAGCCACGAAAGACCGTGGTTACTCAAAATACCTTGCTAGCCAAAATGGTGTGTGTGTGTGTGTGTATATATATATATATATATGTATATATATATATATAATATTAAGTGTGGATACGCAAAACCGTGGTTGGCGAGGTAAACCTGTACAAAGAAACTAAACGGTGAAAGGAAATTAAATAGGAACTTAATAGTTATTCTCACAGCACAAAAACTAGGGGTCGCACAATGAAACTAGTAGGTTGTGCGCTTAAAGCTAACACGACGAAGTTCTTTTTCACCCAGCAGCAAAATAAAGTGCGGGGCTCAGCACGCAGCCAGGGGCTGACTCAGCGCTCTGCCCGCTCGGCCACGTGGAGGCTGCGAGCGCTGAGTCACATCTTGCGACCGCTGTCAGCTCTTCGCCCTGCGGATAATCATGACCCTCACACCCTCCCGTCCAGCGGCCCACAACTCCCGGCATGCAGCGGTCCCGGTGGCCCGCCATGCCCCGCGCCTATCTGCTCCCCGCCACGGCGCCTACGCACCCCAGAAGGCCTCGCGCGTCGGGCCAAGTAGCCGGCCGGCGTGGGGTGTCTGCGCGGGGTCTGCCGGGAGTTGTAGTTCGCTGGGGACGGGAAGTGCCGTTCGTGACGCCACAGAGCGCTGGGCGCGGCGACGGGTGGTGTTTACCGGACGGGCCTAGTGCGGCGGGGCCGCGGCCCGGCGGCGCCATGTCTGGCTGCAGCACCTGCGCCGCCGCTGCGCGGCTGCTCGGCTCCTCGCTGCCCTCGGCGCACAGAGGTAACCGCCCCGGGGCCGCTCAGCGCCTCCCGCGGGGCCCGGCCTCGGCCCCCCCTACCCCAGGGCTGCAGCCCCTCCGCCATCTTCCCCCGGGCGGGGGGGCCTCGTGGGGGGTGTCGCTTTTAACACCTCTGCACTTTATTGTTATTATTATGTGCCTCATGGGGGCGTCGGTTTAAAAATCTATGCACTTCAGTATTATTATTAATGAAAAATAGTTGCAAAATTGTTCTTTGCAAGCTTCCAGGCACACCCCCTTCTTCCCCCCCGCCCCGTTCAGGCATCGGGAGGGTGTTTTTTTTGAGCATGTGGTTCTTAACTTAAGGGCCTATAACATGTGTGTAAGGGGCCTGCGGCCGCCTGCGAAATCACCCCTAAACCTTGCGCAGAGAAGCCAACTCCCGTGCTCGTCCCATTCGGGCTGTTTCTGGTTCTTGCTGCCAGTCCTGCTCCAGCCAAAAGCTTTTCACGTTGCACAGTGTTGGTAGGACCCTTAGGCCGGCGCTTCCTGTGGTTCGAAGGGCTGCTGTCAGGTAGGTCGAGCCTTACAAAAGTCAACCGAGTCTGCTGCAACCTGAATGAAACGTTAATAAATCAGAATTGGGTTTTGCTCAGGGATTCAGCTTGTCTCCATGGTTGCATGCTTGTGACCACGAATCGCACTTCCTGTGAAAGTTTTAGAGGAGACTATTTCTTATTTGCCATATCTTGGTGGCTGCAGCAGTTATCATGCATCTTTGGTACTTGAGTTTGGCACTTAGTCTTAAATCCAGGAGTGATTTCTCTATCGTACCAAAGATAGTTTATTTAGTGTAACCCCAGGGAAGACCTGGGTGTAATTTTCTGTTCTGCTCTAAGCTCATGGTGACAGCTGCGGCAGTTAGATACCAGAAACTTTGCGGATCAGCGCTTGTCTCTTGGACCTCAGTTACTTATCTACAGAGTGGTGCCTTTTTCACCATTTCTTTCCTTGCCAAGGTTTCGAGGATATATGCCAAAAAAAAAAAAAAAAAAGTAAGTGCTCAGATACTTTGGAATAGCAGTAAGGGTGGGGGAGAAGGTAATCGGTATCTGGAGAGTATTGGACTTTAGGTATCAATTGTGGACCTACAGCAGCAGTCAAACATGGTAATAACTGGGACGGGGGGGTTTAATTTTTAACATTTTCTGATATAGCTGAATGCTGTACCATGTATTAACAGTCACAAAGTTTTGTTTAAAGTGTGTGTGTGTGAGAGAGAGAGAATTTCTGAATAGTTAGAAAGGAAGATTTTTGAATTTCTCAAAGCCATGGCTGAAATATGGAATGAAATGTGACTGTATTTGATGGGAGCATGGAATATTCCTAGTAAAACTGCTTTTTGCAGTTAGTTATATTTTATGTAAATAAATATGCATGTGGTAAAATTCCTATTCTATTGGAATGTGTACTGTAATATTTCTTCAAAAATTTAATTTTAAAATTGCAGCATTGTAAAAAGTCTTCTCCATGTTCATTCGGCTAACTTTTCCTCTTCAGCCTGCTTATATCATCCTGAACCCCTTGTGGGAGAAAAGATGAGCTTAACAGCATGCGCTGAAGGCCAAACAAGCAGGTGTCTCTGCGACCAAGAGGAGAGATCAGAATGCATTTTACCACCTTGGGCATCTCACTTAATGTGCTGTGTCGACTACATGCCACCTCTTCTGTCGAGTGCAGGTGATGACACTGTTACCTAGAATGTGTCATTGGCTGTGGTATCAAGGCTAAGGCCAAGCAATAGATATCAAAACCCTACAAAATCTTTTAAAGTGATAGGTTTCATGGAATTTAAAGGAAAGTATGTCAAGGCTTGGGAAGCAAGATACTTGCTCTTTTTGGTATTGCTAGTAAGGACCTGATGAAATGGGGAAATCATATGGAATAAAGCTATTCCAGATGAGTGTCTTGTAACTCACTGAAAAATGGAATAAGCTGAACTGCACAAAAAATGTTTGTGAGAGAGTTCATATAGAAGAGCTGTTGGAGTTTAGATTTACACCCTTACACAATAACTGCTCAGAGCACTGCTTGAATTTTTAGCTGAAGAGATGCAACCAGCTTGAAAATTCTCTTGTCTCTTATTTTTATAATAATCCCTATAATAATTTTAACTGAAGGAGAAATGCATCTTTTCAGTTTACACTTTGGAGTTGGCAGTATTTCACATACAGATTCCTCATGTACCCTGTGTAGGCAGTCAGGTTTACATTTGTCTCAGAGCTTCAGGGTAATAGAAATCTTTAAAAACAGGGAAACTTGATTCCATAACTTGGTGGGGGGACTGGATGTCATGTACAAGTGAAACGAAGGATTTTATTTAATGGAGAGTGACTTTTTTTTATATTGATTTTCCGCCCCCCCAAGTTCCTCTTAAGTATTCTGTTTTCTGTTCTAAAAAAGCTGTACATCTGATTTGATCAAATATCACTGGTGTTCATTTCACAGTAGAAGATGTCTGCAGAGACTTACCTTGAAACTACTGTCCTAAACCTTTTTTTTTTTTTTTTTTTTTTTTTTTTTTTTTTTAAGCACATACTCTTATTGGAATTTGTGTGTGAAAAGAAACTTAAATGTACCCATTGAGGATTTTTTTGTTTTGTTTTTTAACCGAGACAAAAAATATTTGCAGGTTGGCTTGGAACAGAATGATAGGATTATTTCTTTAGTGGCAGGATTTGATTTAAAAAGTCAGCTTGAAAATACAATAAAATGAAACAAAATGATTAACAAAAACTAAAAGCCATCATGGAGCTGATCGGAAATCATTTCAGCTCTGCTGCAATCTAATTCCTCTCGCCCTATCATCCACTTCCTCTTCGGTCCCTCTTTTTTAAAAAGATTTTACTGGCATGAGGTTTCTTCCACTTGGTTCTGCCAGCTTCCTCCCTTTCTCCAGTACAAATTTAATGGAATTTAAAATTGAACCTACCAATGAGATGGTAATTCCTATGGGTGCCAAGTTGCAGTTTCTTTCTGAGGTCAGCCAAGGAATCCCTCCAGAATTGTCTATTAGGTATATGAAGCAGCTTGGAAACTCCCAGCTGGTGTGTAATCCAGAGCTTGGGTGTGTCTGTCCTTTTTGAATTGTGTCACTTATTCAAATTAAAAACGAATCATTAAATTTAAGATGCATGCTTACTCTTTGTAAAAAGGTAAGGTTTTTTTTTCATATCGTTACTTTCACTATTCTCTCGCTAATAATTTTTCTCAAACATGAACTGCAGAATTCTTGGGGATTGACTTAGAAATGTTTACAAGTCAAAGTCAAGGATTCAGAATCTGCCAAATTAAGACCACTTTACTTCACGTGCAAAACACATGCATAATTTCATACAATCAGGAGACATTTCAAAGGTCACATAATTCCCCTTGCAGTCACATTATTTCATAATACCATGCTAAAGGTTAGTCCTTTTTTTTTTTTTATTATTTGTATACAGTGAGTTGCTTATGCAATTCAGATAAATTTAGTCCTTAGTACAGCACAGCTTCCACTATCTTAATGTCAGAGGACATGAAATAAATTTGGATCATCTACTTTTTGAATTATTGAGAATTTTTCATCAATGTGATGCGCATTTAGAAGGTGGCATACCATATTTGTATAACTGAGTTTTTGATATACAGAGCTGAATTGAAGCACTGTTTGTCTTAATGTTGAAAGGTTTGATTAATCAACTATTTTATTTCATTGGTGATTGTTCAGAGCAGTATGGCATCCAGATCAAAAGGAGAGATTTTCTTTTTTTAAATGTCCTCAACAGTTGCTAATGCACTTTCTTTTGGGAAGAGTGTTTGTTGAATGTGTGCTTTTAAAAAAAATCATTGAATGGCTCCAGGTGAAGCATTAGGTTAACACATAGAGTGACTACTCTGGTGTTGTGATTTATATTTTGGACATGGGTGTTGAGGACCTGGCCTGGCCTGCTAAGTTTTACCAGCATAGCTATGTCTGTGTAAGGGCATGAAAAGATCACACCTCCTAACTGTTGGCTACAAAGGATCAACTCGCAGGATCATCATAAAATTCTCATTTATTAGACAGATGCCAAAGCCAGATCATAAACCTTGGGGCTGATCCCCTCAAACGCATGCACATACACACACTCACAGTAGCTAGCTATGAACACTAAGCACCAGTGTCAAGATATACCTGTCCTCAAGTGCTGGAGTCTGCCTTTGATGACTAGTTGAGGCTTCTTTCAGTGTGATGTTGCTTCAGAAGGGGGTCGCTGGCTGGTCCTTTTGGGTGGGGAGGCAGGGTGCTGGTCAGGTCAAAGAGGGCACCATTGGGGGTCACTCTTCGCTGCCTTTTATCCCTTTCTGGCAGACTTTGTCGACTCCCCAATTTTTGGTCTTACCCAATCCAGGGGTCATTGACCTCATGAGACGTCCCCCTTGGTTGCTGGATGGCAGCTGTCAGCCCTAGGGGTCATGTCCGTAGGTACGTGCGGTCTCCGGAGTCCATTGATGAAGTTTGATTAATTCACTGCTGTGATGAATAGGGGAATAGGGCTCTGGGGTCAGTTGATCGGGGGGTGGGGTATTCAGTCCCAAGAGTTGGTCTTCGGTGTTGATTAGTTCAAACCAGGGCTTCTGTACCTTTTAACAGTGAAGTTTCAGGGAGTTCCTGGCTCTGTATTGATCCTTTCCTCTCATTAGTCTGTAGTGTCCTACGTGTTAATTGATGCTGGATAACTTGTTATTCTTTGTAGCTACTGTGTTACTCAATCAACCAAGATTCATTCAGGGATCTACTCATACAGAGAAGCCAGGGTTTAGATTCCTGGCTTTGCTAACATTGTTACATGGTACAACTTTTAAAAAGTACATTTGTTACAAAGTTAAAAAGCTATAAAACATAAAAGGGTTAAATGCCATGGCACATGCAACAAATTGACCAAATACAATGGGGGGGGGGCATATTGATGCGGAATACTATTTTATACCCATAAAAGATCTACAAACTATATTTTTATTACAAATACGCCTTATATTCTATTTTAAAAATAATATAATAAAAGAAGAAGAGGGAGGAAGGAAGAAAAGGTAGAAAAGAGAAAGCATCCCCAAAAGGGGGCAAATACTGCAAATGGGCTTTTTGCCATATGGAGGGGTTTCACATTGGAGTGGGGGGCAGGCAAAAAAAAAAAGGTTTCTTGCTATATAATCAACATACCTATACTGGCAAAAGTCCTTGCATGGGCACAACTGTACCAACAGAAGAAGGCTTTTATTGACAGAGCTTATGCACTCCAGGGGAGGTGGTGTAGCTACGTCAGCAGAAAAATCCATCTGTCAGCATGTCCTGTGTCTTTGTTGGAGGGCTCTTGTCAACACAGATGCACCAGGCTAGCTGGAGTGACAGTGTCTGTTGTGTAGGTAAGCACTAGCCCTGATGTTAACTGAGTAGTACAGCAAAACTTGTGTTAACCAGCATTTCTACTAACCGGAATTCTGGCCAGCTGAAGAGGGGGCTCACACATGGTGGCCGCCGCCACCACCACCACCCTGCACTACCACTGCTCTGCATCCAGCCAAAAACCCCTGCCTCAGGTAACCGGGTTTTTTATATAACTGGCATGCCATGCTAGCTAACACAGCTTTTACTGTACTCCCTGTTGATTGTAACGCCATTGGGAATCTTCACTGCACAGTTGTGGTGCATCCGCCCTTGTGCCTGTATTTTATCAGGCTCTAGTAACTTTTCCCATAGTAACGTGTGCAGATGTATACATACTCAGGATGTTTTTTGGATATTACTTATTCTACGATTCAGATGTCCTTTACACATGAACTTTTTATTGACTTTAACTGTTAAGCTTAATGGAAATCCTAGTGTTTGTCATTGCAAGACCTTGAATTCAATTTGATTTAAGCTTTTATTCTTCTGGCATATAGTTGTTCTGTTTCTACCACAGAAGGAACTCAAGAATGAATCATAAAAAAAATTGAAATACATGTAACCCTTTGATCCCTAAGAGAGTAATCTATTCCTTCAAAGTTCACTTTATTGTCATGAAGGGGTTGAGGAAGTCAGGAATGGTGTTGTCATCCTACAGATACTAGTGCATCTGATTTTTCTTTCTTTAATTTTCCCGAACAGTGGGTGATAAATACATTAGTAATGAGTATTTTATCTGTATTCTATTATATCATGAAACAAACTGATCATAGGTAATATGTTGCGTATGTGTGTTCAGCATTTTGAGTGGGAAGCACAACAATTTGTCCTTTAAAGGATTGGTTTCATTTCCAGGTATTACTTGTGGTCGCAGTCGTCTCCCTGTTTTAGGAAGACTTGGAGCCTTTGAAACGCGTTCTTTAAGAAGAGTTCCCTTTAGATGTTTTTCTGAAACGCCAGCATACTTTGCTTCAAAGGATGGTGCAAGCAAGGATGGCTCTGGGGACGGCAATAAGGTATCGGATATTCACTACCTACTCTTGTATTTTAAGGTGACCTCATCTGAAAGCCTGCACTCCTTTCTGGGCTGCTTGCTTATTATTGTTCCAAGTCACCTGTCAGATCACTAAAGCTGCAAAAATATTTTCATATAGTTTCCTGTTGAATGTGTATACGTTTTGTTGTTAGAGTCCTTGTTGGCATGGGTCTTTCACACAGCAAAAAGGAAATTAAACAGTTTTGAAAATATAGCAAGACATGATTATACAACCACAGCAATATGCTGAAGGCTTAGTCAGGAGGTAGCACAGGAATTTTTCAACTCATCTTTTTGACAATTGACAGACTTCCTTAATGACAGTTTCCCTCTAAGCCAAATGTTTTATCGTTTTTTCCCTTATTTCAACAGTAACATGTTGCAAGTATGTTAATCAGTAATGTTCTGTGAAAAGATTCGTTTTATTTTTACCGTCTGTTTAACTGCTACTTTCATTACATATTTAGTCGTCTTTAAGAGAAAAACAACAACAAAAACCCAACAACCCTCCTTTCTTTCTTTTTACTAGCAATTAATAAGCAACATTTTCAAGTGAATGATTACCCAGTGTAAGTTTGCTCTCGACTCCACACACACAAGTTTGGCAGGTGCTTCAATAAATTGTTGTTAGAGTGGCTTTTCCTAGGTCTGAAAGTCTAACCGGAGGGTATGCAAAAATGTCTTACTTGTTCTCTAGAAGCACATATTTCTTTCTCTCTTTCTTTTTTTGTTTACGTTATAAGTAGGCTGACCATATGGAAATCCCGGAAATCCACACTGCAGTCTGGCTGGGAGTCAGAGCACTCCACACCTCTGCATTTCGGGGACGCCCATTTTTAATTCTCAACAGCTGGCCAGGACAAGCCTCTGAAATCTGGGACTGTCTCAACTTAAACATACGGTCACCCTGCTAATGAGTCACCTCTCAGAAAAACTGGTGGCAGAGTCCCCTGTACACTATGTAATTATTGGGTAAAAAGCTTTGCTGCTGTCAGAATTGCACCATCTCGCTGTATGGCAGAACTTGTCTTTACACTTGGGGTTTTGCCAGTGTAGCTGCATTAGTTTCAGGGAGCTATATTTCTGCACTCCTGTTCAACATAGTTCTGTTGGTGGAACTCTGTAACATAGCTAAAGATTAGGTTTCTTGCTGTTAGATTGGAAGCGTAGCTGTGTAATTGATATGAGAAATGTATATACGAGTTTGCAGAAAGGCAGAAATACACTGAGGTATGACTTGCTCCATTTATTTCAGCAACTGCTAACTTAGCTGTTCGTAATAATATGTTAACATCAATACTGCTTTTACTCCTTAAAGCTTTTAAAAGGGAGAGGCATTATCTCCCATGTTGCTTGTGGAATGTGGTCTGATGGCCCAGCCCAGGGATGGAGGTATGGAAAAGGTGTAGGTTGAACTATTTAGGTCTCTTACAACATGCAGTGGAATTGCAGGGGGTGTGACTGACTGATTCTATTTTGCTGCACTACAAGTAGTTAAGTTTACCAAAGGAACTACTAATTTTGAGTGCCCAATATGAAACACTTTGGAAGGGCCTGTTCTGGCGGTCATGTCTAAACTGCAGCCCTCTGCCAATATAACTGTCTTCATGGTGGATTTCTGCTGGCATAGCTCTATTAATCACAGGTCATGCAACGTGATCATCACAGGTATACCGACAAAGTGCCGTTTTACCAGGGCGGCTCATTTTGTTTGGGGTGTATGTGTGAATGAGCTATGTTATTATAAGCTGTATCCACATTAGGTCTTATCTTGTCTGTATTGCAGCTTTATGCTGGCTGAACTATTTGGCTAGATGTGCAAAAAAACTCACTTTCCATAGCTGACACTGCTCTCTTGGCAAAAGCTTTGGTGTGGTGTGGGTGCAGCATGGCTGACAGGGATTCAGGGGGGCTGGCCTAGCTTTTGGGCAGAAAAATTCCTGTTGGCAGAGCTATGTTTGGGCCATGAGGCCCAGGCATTCCTGACGGCATTGTTGCTGTTATTGCTAAAGTGACAGGAGCCCTGGTAGTGAGACATATCATAGGAGTACTTTGCTGGCTCAGCAGATTGCTCCTAACGTAGATGTGGCATGGCAGAGTGGGTGCTTGATACATTCTGAAGAACTGTTCTTTTTCAGTATATCGCAAGTCAGGGATCCAAATCACTAGTTGCTCTTTGAAAAACAGACCATGTTCTAGTCCTTGTGACATCATTTTTTTAAAGTGTAAACTTTCAAACTTTATTGTGGCAGACTTTAGCTGCCTTTTTAAAATCCTGATGGTAGATATTTTAGTCAATTTTTAAATTTACCAACCTTTTTTCATTATGTTAGTGGCATATATAATGTAACAAATCTGTAATTCACAGCCCAGAACTAACAACTGAAATTGTATTTTATTGTCAGAAATCTGTCAGTGAGGGAGGCAGCAAGAAATCAGGTTCTGGAAACTCTGGGAAAGGAGGAAACCAGCTGCGCTGCCCAAAGTGTGGTGACCTGTGTACACATGTGGAAACCTTTGTGTGTAAGTCTTAACAAAATGTTGTTGTATTGATTCATATTGGATGATTCCTATTTCTCTGAAGCAGAAGGATAAATGTTTTAACACAGCAGAGGTAAGAAAGGGCTCAACATAATTATTGGTCCATGTTGAGCACTATAATGGTCCAAACTTTGTTATTGACACTGAAAACACTTTGGAGTGGTGGGGCCCAGAGGGATCTGAATTTCCCACCGTGTTCCTTATACCCTGTTGCGATCCCCAAGGTCAGCTGAGAGCAGCCTCCTACGTATACCATCGGTATATCAAATCCTCTTGGTGAAAACACAGGGAAGTTGTTTTTAGCAGTTGCTCCTCAGTTCTGCAACTCCCTCCTTCTTGAGACCTCCCAGAGCCTGAGCCTAGGACATACTTTGGAAGGGCTGTAAGACCTCCCTAGTTGGGTATTTAACCAGACGAAGCGAGGGTGTGGTGTTTGTTCAGCAGAGTATCTGTTTTATCTTGATATTCCTATTCCATTTTCAGTTATTCTTGATCTCTTGTTTCTGCTATTTTTAAGTTCTGTCGTCTTATTGTAAGCTCCCCTGAGCTTTTGCTGGAAAGAGCTGGCATATAAATTGAATAAATAGCGGTAAATACATTTTCTAAGTTCCAACACAGTGAAAGCACAATATTCAACTTACTAAGTAGTACTGGTGAAGTTTCTAAAACCAGACTGTGTCCTTCATGAAGTTGTTTTTGTAAGGCTCAAGGATGAAGTCTCTAGTCTAGCCAGCTCTAATGCTGTTATAAAGGCTGTAAAAACAAGGTCAACTGACACCCATTGTAAAGAACAACGGGTGGATGTAGTATAGCAGTTGCAGAAACTGATGAGTGGACTTGCTTGCTGTTTTTGAACAAACTTCCAACAGAAAAGTTGGAGGGAATTACAGTAATCAAGCCTCATTCATGGGCTTAATATACCAGCAACACAAGCAACTTGCCCTGCTGTTATATTAATTTCTCAGGACAGGCAAGGGATCAGCTTGTAAGTGGCCTGACTTTTGGGAGTAGTGAGCTCCCATTCATTCTGATTCTGTGAGTGATTGGTACTTCTGAATTTCTAAGTGCAAAACTGGACAAAGCACAGTAAATATGTAGGGCTTTTGTGGAAATGGTGTTAGTGAAAGCGGTGCAAAATTTCTTAATCTAGCTGACTGCCTTCAAGAGACCCAGGAACAAGTAGATGCATGTTCTGAGCATGGCTTCCTCTGCCTGTGTTACCTATTGACTGAGATTTCTGTGCTTTCAGATAGAATTATTCAAATATGTCTTCCCTCTGCCACTATCTAGATTTTTCCTATTTTACTGCACTACTTTTGTCTTATAATAGCTCCTGATAATGCCTCTTCACTCCTAGATCACTGTCCTTCTCTGTCCCTTCAAGCAGACTGTTTGCATTTACATGGAGTCTTCTTTCTGCAGTTTAGCACAACTTGTGTCTGCCTCTTTTTCTTAAACCTGAGGAAGGGCACTTGATGCCTGAAAGCTTGTCCAACAGCTCTCCTGACTATACAGTAGGTCCAGAAAATATAGCACAAAAAATCCTTGCCCCATTCACTAGCAAGCTTTCAGGCTGTTAATTCAGGTATGATTTAAGGCAGGGTTGTCAAACTGATCCAGCCCTCAGGGCCAAGCGGATAGCACAGGAATGGCCTGCAGGCTGGATTGTCCCTCAGGCTGGTTCTGTGCACCAGATCCAGTGTGTGGGGCTAGCCCAGTGCAGGCATCTTGTGCAGTGTGCTTCTCAGACTGGCCCCACATGAGCACCTTATGCAGCACATGTCCTGGATTGATTTGTTGTAGGTGCTGCATACAGCATGGGGGGGCTGATCCAGTGTGCAGCATACAGGGCCACTCCAAGATCCACAGAGTATCGTGGGCCAGTTGATAGGGCTCCATGGGTTGGATCAGGTTCATGGGCTGTATATTTGACATTCCTGATTTAAGGTGTCATCAACGTTTTGATGATTCTTTAACATGCAACTAGGAGACTAATTTATGCATTTCAAATAGGGGACATAGACTTAACAAATGAATGTAGTTTTGATTTTCAGAAGACCAGATCAAGAGTATTACCTGCTCTGGATTCAACTGATGTTATGAGGCTTTTACAACTAGAAATAATTACTTTGCTTTAACAGGACTACCACTACCTTGCTAGTAGAAGTTTACAGACACTGATGTGTGAAAGTACAATGTGAGAATATCCATTTTTTAATTAGTTGAATATTTATAATTTCTTACTCTCCTTGATTTTGGTGTTTAAGTGTCTTTTTTAAAGAGTTTCTTCTCAATTAATTATACACAAAGTGCAACAAGTAAGAGTAGACTCTTTTCATTTTGTTTAGAGATTATTAGGTCGAAGAAGTAGTTGGATTCCTGGTGACTGAACTTAAAAAAATCAGCTGTAGCTGCTTTTATTTTCCAAATATTCCTTTGTTCCCTCATCCTGCATTTTCCTTCTGAGACCTAAACACTTTTTCCTATTTCTTATTCATATGATCAAATTGAATACATTACTCCCTGACTAAAACTACTTTTAATATTTAATCACTCTGTTTTCTTTTCAGGGTTTATCTGAATGTAGAGTGGGTGCGAGCAAGCAAGCTATGTTCTAAGCCGCTTTGGCTTTGTCAGAATTGTCCTACAGGTTCCAGTTCTGGACGTATTAAGTGTTGGTTGTGTTTTGTGAAACAGCCTGTAATGTCACTTGTGTAACAACAACAACAAACCTTCAGGGTTTTAATTACATCATTGGAAACTAAGGAAAACATAGACTTCCTTGGCATTTTGTTTTGCTCTTTAAACACTAAATTACACCCTGCCCTCCCCCGTTGTGTTGAAAGGATTAGAAGAAATGAAATGCTAATGTACACTTTGAGTTGGAGAACTACTTCATTAGTGAATAGAGGAGTAAAGCACTATTGGATGCTGAAATGACATCCTGGCTATCTGCTGAAGGTCATAATGTTCTGTCCCATAAAGCTGCCAACATTGCACAGTGGTTTGCGATACTTTGCTGTTCCAACCCTCTTTCTTGCTCCTTTGAAGGAATAAAGGGACTTTGCTCTGATTCATTTATGCAGCACTCTGTCCAACCTTATGTCAGGGGGCACAGAGGAGCGAGGAGTCCTGTGTTAAGAACTTCGCTGAGTGAGATAAAGCTGAAGCCTGATATGTGGAGTCAGACTATATGACTTTAATGCCTTTGGCTGAATGCTACGGATATAAGCACTTTGTAAAATTGGTATTCTTTTTTGCCCTCTTCTTCACCCCATTTTGTCAGTTCTCCTAGCCTCCAAAGCAAGATTTAGTGTGCTTAAACACCCTTAGATTAATGTTTCCCACCCCTTTTTCCTTAGGGTTGTTTTCTCCATAACAATTTTTGAGAGTGCTTGGAATCACAGAATTGCTGCAAGTGTTTTTGTTTCGCTTTAAAAGTGCGCTGTTGCTTTGTTTCTGCAAATATCTTTTGAAAAGTGCTTTTCTGTTCATTTGACAAGGACTTCACCTTACAACTGCACACAGTGACTTAACAAATACCTTTGCAATTTGTAGGTTCCAGCATGCCATGGCAGTGTGAAACTAAGTCAAGATCCATAGAATCATAGAAAATTAGGGTTGGAAGGGACCCCAGGAGGTCATCTGGTCTAACCCCCTGCTCAAAGCAGGACCAGCTCCAACTAAATCATTGCAGCTGGGGCTTTGTCAAGCCGGGCCTCAGAAGTTGGAGATCCTGCTGTCTCTCCAGGTAATCTGTTCCAGTGCTTCACCACGCTCCTAGTGAAAATTTTTTTTTTTTACCTAATATCCAACCTAAACTTTGCTCGCTGCAACTTGAGCCCGTTGCTGCTTGTCCTGTCATCTGCCACCACTGAGAACAGTCCAGCTCCATCCTCTTTGCAACCCTGCTGTAGGTAATTAAAGGCTGCTATTAAATCCACCCCCAGTCTTCTCTTCTCCAGACTAAATAAGCCCAGTTCCCTAAGGCTTTTCTCCGAAGCCATACCCTCCAGCCCCCTAACCATTTTTGTTGCCCTCCACTGGACTCTCTCCAACTTGTCTGCATCCTTTCTGTAGTGGTGGGCCCAAAACTAGACACAGTACTCCAGATGTGGCCTCACCAGTGCTGAATGGAGGGAAAGAATCACTTCCCTTAACCTGCTAGCAACACTCCTACCAATGCAGCCCAGGATGCCATTAGCCTTTTTGGGAACAAGGGCATACTGCTTGCTTATATTCAGCTTATTGTCCACTGTCACCCTCAGGTCCTTTTCTGCAGAGCTGCCACTTAGCCAATTGGTCTCAAGTCTGTAGCGCTGCATAGAATTCTTCCATCCTAAGTGCAGCTTGTCCTGGTTGAACCTCATGAGATTTCTTTTGGCCCGATTCTCCAGTTTGTCTAGATCACTTTGAATCCTAGCCTTACCCTCCAGCATATCTACTATTCCCCAGAGTTTGGTAGCATCTGCAAACTTGCTTAGGGTGCACACCATCCCATCTTCCAGATCTTTAATGAAGATATTAAGCAAAACCAGCCCCAGGACCGGGCTCTGGGGCACACCACGTGATACTGACTGCCAACTATAGATCTCAAGCCATTCATCACTACCCATTGAGCTGGATGATCTAGCCAGCTTCCTCTCCACCTTACAGTCCATTTATCCAACTCATACTTCCTTAGCTTGCTTGCAAGAATGGTGTGGGGGACCATATCAAAAGGTTTGCTAAAGCCAAGGTGCATCATGCCCACTGCTTTCCCTGCATCTTCAGAGCCAGTCATCTCATCATAGAAGGCAATCAGGTTGGTTAGGTATTACTTGCCTCTGGTGGGTCCATGCTGACTTTTCCTTTAACATTTTCTCTTCCTCCAAGTACTTAGAAATGGATTCCTTGAGGATCTGCTTCATGATTTTTCTAGGGACTGAGGTGGATCCTCCTCCTTCCCCTTCTTAAAGGGGGGCAGTATATTTCCCCTTTTCCAGTTGTCTGGGACCTCCCCTGATTGCCCTGAGTTTTCAAAGATAATGGCCAACAGGTCTGCAGTCGCATCGGCCAACTCCCTCAGCACCCTTGGGTGCGTTGCATCTGGCCCCATGGACCTGTACACATCCAACTTTTCTACATAGTCCCTAACTTGTTCTTTCACCACTGAGCATTGCTCACCTCCTCCCCCAAACAGTGCTGCCTGGTGCAGTAGTCTGGGAGCTGCCCTTGCCTATGAAGACCAAGGTGCATCAAGTACTTCAGCCTCTTTCTCCACGCTTTCACTGCTTACACTTCCATCAAAAATGCTTGCAGAACTTCCCATACCAGCGAAGTAGTTTGAAATTGGAGGCAAGTGACGAAGTTGGCTGTACTTGTTAACGTGACGTTGTCGGCACTGAAAATTTGTAACGTTTCCTATAGCTATAATTGATCAGAATGTGGGATTTATAATTATTGACAATTGCCTCACTTCGGAATTTGATTTAATTCCAGTTTACTTTTAATCCAGACTTGTCACAGTTTTCCATGAAGTGGAAATTCTCTAAAATTTTGGTTTCAGAAGCACATGGTGTTTCCATAAGAAGATATACTCTGAGACCTGCTAGCAGCTTGCTGGAATTGTTACAGTTCTTCTCCGTATCACAGCTGCCTGTCCCCTGAATAGTTGCTATAAATGTATTATAGGTGTTGCTGTGGTACCACAGACCCTAGGAGGCTGAGAAAAGCTGACTGGTTGAGCCTACAGGAAGGTGGAAAGAGTTCTGGTAGAAACCTGCCTGTGCTTAGTTGCATCGTTTTCAACAAATATTTCCCTTCTGCAAAATGCTTCTCTTTCCAGAAATTAGTATTCTCTGGCAGAGAAGTGTCCCATCAGTTTTCAATCGGTTCTATTTCTACCTCTGTCCTGAGGGATGGAGTTAAAGTGTATGCTTCTGTGAAACAGGTGGTGCAAAATGTTTTGCTTTGTTTGATTGATTGATTTTTTTTTTTTTTATTATTATTATTTTTTTTATTTTTGACCCTGTGGTTTCAGTCTTCAAGACGCTGCGTTCCATTTCACAGTCTGAAGCATTTCACAGTGGCCTGCAACAGAAGGAATTTTTCCCACAGTTTTCTAATATCTTAGGTCATTTTGTATTTAAAATTGAGCATTGCTTTGGAAACAAAGTGATTTTATTTTCCTTTGTCACAATTTACTGTGCTCAGAGTATGAGGTTTCTTGTCAAAAGATTATAATATCATCTCTGCCATTGATGACTTGCTCCAACCTTGGAGAAAAACATCTTTGTGCTTCTGCTTTCCTATTTGCATTGCTGGAAATTGTTCTCTTAAAGCAGGGTTTCCAAACTCACCTGGCTGGATGCGTGGACCGTGGGTGTCCTCAAAGTTGTGGCCACTGTGGTGATGGTAGGTCTCGTGATGGCTGGACTGGAGGGTACAATAGTGGGTCTGGAGGCAGCAGTGGGTCCAAGAACTGGGGTCTGGGGACAGCTGCAATGACAAGCCAATATTGCTTCCAACAGCTATGGGCAATGGGACTAGAGGACCCCATATTCTGCAGCAGACTGCGCCCCTCAGCTTCTGGTAGCCCAGGGGACTGGGTACACGGGCTCAATGGGCCATATGTTTGACACCCTTGACTTAAAGGGATCGTGGGAGAATTAGATTGTAAAACCATCCTGCATTCTTTCCAGCAGAAAGCACCATAAAATAAAAGTAGCTTTGTTTTTAGTGATTTTTCATTTATTTTCTGTTTCCGTATGTCCAGTCTGTCCCTAGAGAGAGCTGTTGTATGTATTGTGACCCTAGTGCCAAGTATTAGCATCGTGTGAGGGAGAACAGCAGGGTGGATTTGATTTAAATCACATTGATTTAAATCATGATTTATATCACAGTTTAAATCACTGGTCAGGAAGCCTCAATTTAATTAATGTTTTCTACAAAGAGTGCATTTGTTATATAAACTTTGCTCAAGTCTATGGAAATAGGTTCAGGATAGCCAGCATATATTCTTCATTTCTCTTTAGCCCAGTGTTGAGAACTTTGGCTATGACAATTCCATCTCTTTTGGCATGATTTTGTTCACAAATTATCATCACATTAAGCCAGTTCTCAAGAATTAGTTTGGTTCCTCCTGTTTGCTTGAGAGCAGCTGCTGCAAAGTGGTTGTTACGGAATATTTTGCAATTTCAACAGAATTCTGCTCAAAATGTTTCGCCTTTGTTTTACTGCCCCTCTCTCCTTGCATTTATCTCTAGACTCCTCCTCCTTGCTCAGATCTACACCACCGACAATCCTCTATTCATTTAACTTATTGAAACTTTGCACTTTTAGGGAGAGATAAGGGCTTGATTCTGTGTACACAAACTTGCAGAGAGATAAGAGGGCTGATGGGTGGGTAATCAGGTCTGTTATCTCTCATCTCCATATCCTGCTGTTAACAAGGCTGTTATCTCTGGAGACACAAATCCAATTTGAGAACTGAAACTAAGCATCACAGAGATGCTTAATGGGATGTTTAACCTGAGCACTGAGTCCCATTGGATTGACTGGTTTTCTTGAATCTTTACTAATCTATAGAGGGGCCTTTGGGAACCCCATAAGATTGGACCCCTAATATAGTCCATGGCCTGTTGTGACCCATTTATAAAACTTCTAAAACTGTTACATGAATATATTGTCTCAAGTAGTATATAATTAGAAGTTATAATCCCTATTCCATGATGATATCTTTGAGCTTTAACATATCTTAAATTGAAACTATCATTTTATAGGTTTCTTTTTTTTTAAGCATCTTAATTAAAAAAAAAATCCGATTGTTTTGATTTTTTTTTTTTTTTTTAAATGTTGATTTTTATCCACCCTGGAGAACAGTCCCCATAACACAAGTTGTCAGTCAGGTATCCCAAATATTGTGAATGAGTGCAGTGGCAAAACCTCTCCCTGTGATAGCAGCACCAAATCAAACTGTCATTGGAGCATCTTCCTTGCAGTCCCTCTACTCCAATACCAATGGTTTGTGCTGCTACTGTTGAAGTGTTTCAGCTCCTCTGTTCGTTCTACCTAAAGGAGTAGCTGTAAGAGCAGCGTGATTGCTTCAGCACTGTGTAGCAGCATCCCAACCGCTAGTCTTATTTATCCAACAGTGGAGTTCTTCAACGTGCAAGTGTCATATCAGATTTGCTCCTGCTGACATCTGCTCTGTAGAAGGCATAAATAAATGGGTTTTGTTATTGCTGTCAGCCAGAATTGAACTATGCAGTCTTTATTATTTTTTAAAAGCTTTTTAAAACTTCAGAGACTCAACATGGAATTTTTCAAATGATCACTTGACACAGAGCAATTGTTATCGTTTGAAATGGGTCATGCTGCACTTATTGGGTACTGGTCTTTTAACAGGATGTTCCAGTGTTGGAGCAAGAACTGAACAATTAATTTGGATGATATCTCTGTTCTTTACTGGCATCTCCTGTAGATGTTTTCATCTCGGCCCTTCTGAAAAAGGCAATAGCTTTGTTGCTTCTGGTCCGCACATTTTCATAATGTTTCTTTGTTTGCTGAAGAGCTAGATACTAAAGGCAGCATTCATGTTTCTTTTTAAGAAATAAATTATTTTCTTAAGTATTTTAGTATGACTTCTGAAAAAAGGCCAGAAAACAGGGCAGTTAATTTCTGAAGTGGTAACTGAAAGGTAGCTCTCGACAAGGAAAATAAAACTACTCCCTCTCTGCCCCCCCAGTTTCTTGCCTTTTCTTCTAATTGTATAAATGCTTGTGTGATCTACATAGGTTGAAATATTCATACAACTAAGAGCTAAACCCCTTTCACTGTGGACTTGAGGTTGACTAATAATGACACTGAACCAAATTTTGTATCCTTTGGTTTTTAGGAAAATCTGTCCTCAGCAGTCCTCTTCTACAGCAGTCAGTTTAATTGCACAAAGAGGAATAAAAACAAATGGCACTGTCTTACTCTCATGTGGTTCAGGACACTATTTACACCTTTCCCTTTATATGGGCTTTGTGATAGTGGATCCACATTGTGTAGTTCAGTAGCTCAGGCCTGTCCAACAAGAGCGACCTACTAGCTGATCCCTTGAGGACCACTGGACCTTTTCAAGCTGCATCTAGGTTCTGTATAGTCTCATGCTTCATGCTGCTTGGGCGTATATGCTGTAGTGGGGGGATCCTGGGAAGATAGCGGTCCTGAACAAGGAGAAACCTGGTTTTTCACCTGTCGTACTGTCTGTGCTGTGTGTCATCTTGGGTACAATGCTTTACTTACCTCTGTGTATAACGTTCTACTGTCTGGTGATTTTTACAGTAAAGCTTCCAAAGTAAGCAGATGAAAAGCACTAGGTAAATGCTGCATATTTACTGTACATTTTGTCTCTCCTGATTTGGCATTTTCCAATCTCAGATATACCTTGGAGGCTGAGGAGGGAATTTACAAAATATTTTCTTACAGACATCTTTTGAGTTCTGTGTAGCATGCAACCATCAAGTTGAATGAATATTGCTTGAAGAATTTCTCTCTTTTTTTTCAGCTTCTACTCGTTTTGTGAAGTGTGAAAAATGTCACCATTTCTTTGTTGTGCTGTCAGAGGCAGACTCCAAAAAGAGCATAATTAAAGAGCCGGACTCGGCAGCAGAAGCTGTGAAGTTGGCATTCCAGCAAAAACCACCTCCTGCACCGAAAAAGGTATGGTTCTTAATTTCACTCAACTAGCCTGCCTTGCATTAGATCATTGAACATTAGACTATTGCCTTGCATGCTGGAATGTTTTGCTTTGTAAAATCTGTATCAAAATTTAAAGTGCAATTGTAACAAATCCAAAAGATGGTTAGTTCTCCAGGATTCAAATTTAGCTATTGCATTCTACAGGGCAGGGTATTATTTCGAATATAATTGCATTTAAGTACTGGGTATCCTGAAGCCAGCTGTATATTTTTGGTTGATACCATAAGCTGTGAAACAATTTGTAAATGAACACTATTAGACAACAGGTTGAGTTCAGCCTCCATTTATGCCCAATGCATATTATGATTCACAATCTTGAATTTTAATTTAAGTACACAGAATTTCAGAATTGGATGCCTCAGAACCTGAGTTGGAGGAACGGGTTGTTTAGTTTTAACCTGGCCCATGCTAACTTTGTATCTTTGCACCGTGTAATGCTTTTAACTCTAACAGGTGATATGCAGGTGTTGTGGAAATTAAGAGAGAATTATTTTTCAGATTTATAACTACCTCGACAAGTATGTTGTTGGGCAGTCATTTGCCAAGAAAGTGCTTTCAGTTGCTGTGTACAATCATTACAAAAGAATCTACAACAATATTCCTGCTAACCTGAGACAGCAAGCAGAAGTTGAAAAGCAAGCTTCTTTAACACCTAGAGGTTCGTATAACGTTTCATATTTTTTGAACATATAAAATACCATCTCTTTTTTTCCTAGTGTTCATGCAATATCTAATAGTTGCATTTAAACCTTGTTTGAGTTCCGTGCTGTATTTCTTGTATAAAGAAGACTTAATTGTCCCATAAAAGACTATCAAGCAATTTAGGTCAAAATATTAGGTAAATATAAACCTTTTTGCAAAAGCTAGTATTATGAATGATTATGACTTGTTTAATATATGTCAGCAAAATAGGGTTTGCAACTATTTTTCTATATTTGCAGATATTTGTTTACTGCATGAAAACCCCAAAGCAAAATGGACTGGTCTGTCTTCATTGTCTAGGTGGAATGAAATGCAGGAAACAAAAGAACAACATAAATAGTATTCCTACTTAGTCTGCTTTTTATCAAGGGTTCAGTTAAAATCAGATTTTAAATTTTCTTAGTTGTGCTGTGTTGTGTTGTGTTTTTTGTTTAGCTATTTCAGTGACTCTCAACCTTTTTAGACTGAAGGAACGCCTCCACAGGTTTTTTTGAAGTTGACAGCACTCCTGATTTTGAGAGCCACTGTTATTCTACCTCAATGGCTCTCAACCCGGGTGTTGCCACAGCTGTGGCCAGGTAAAAGTGGCCTATGCACTTTACGCACAGCCAGACTGGGAAAAGCAGTGGCACGTGTGCACTCCTGATGCTGTTAGAGTTATCAGATAAACCTAAACCAGGCAGGAGTGTCTGCTCTTGCTACAGTCCTTCCTGGTCTGATCCTACATAGCGTCTCCTAGAAAGCAAGGTGTGCGGGGAAGGTGGAACTGCCCCACACGCCTCCCCCTGGGAGGGGGAGGGGATTCTGGACTGGGAATGATTGAGGCAAAAGCAGGCACCTCTTGCTTGCCTGGGGCTTATCAGACCATTCTTATTGGGCAGGAGAGCATGTGTGCGCAATCACAGCCTTGCTTTCTAGTCTTGCTGTGCACTAGGGCTGTGCAAAGCTTTGGTCCCTGATTTGATTCAGCAGAGGTTTAGCCTGATGTGGTGGCCAAATCCAAATCAAATTGGAGGACCCTTTAATCTCTTCAAATTGAATTGGAACCCTCTGAATTGATTTGGAAAGTTTTGGACATAGACACAGCTTTAAATGTTTTTTTTCTACATACCTTGAGGTACCAGCGGCTCGTGAATGCTGCAGTGCTGGGGCATGGAGTGGCCCACAGGAGTGCAGGGGGTTCCCCAGTGTGCTCGGCAGCAGACCCAGAAGTGGACCAGAAGCACTTCCAGTCCACTTCTGGGTGCTCTAGGGAACGCACTGTGGGGCCCTCTCGTGCCCTTCTGGCTCAGCGATTTGGTGTCTTCTGGGTCACGACCGATTGCTGAGCCGGGGAGGTGTGTGTGTGGGGGGGCCCCAGTATGCTCCCCAGCGATGCTGGAAGTGGACCGGAATTACTTCTGGTCCAGTTCCGGGTTCACTGCCAAGCACGTGGTGGGGGGGTGTGCTCCCGTGGGATGCTCCATCTGCCCCAGCATCACAGCATTCACAAGCTGTGCCTGGTATCTTGAGGTATGTAGAAAAAAAATGTAAAGCTGCGTCTGTGGTCGAATCGCTGAGTCTCCGAATCAGCATTGAGTCTTCAGATTAGAATTCAGCTGAATCGAAGTAGGGACAGTGATGTGAATCGACGAATTGAATTGCTGCCCCTGATTTGGGCCAAATCTGGATCGAATATGGCCCATTTCACACACCCCTACTGTGCACGTGGCACACAGTGCACTGTTATCTAGTCAGGTAACCCCGGTTGAGAACCACTGAGTTATCTTTGTGTGCTGCAAATCCCTCACTGTATGTACATTTTTTTGCTATTTATTTGGATAAGCTGTACATTTTTATAGCACTAATTTGTATTCGATAACTTGTTTTAAATAGCATCTCTGTCGGCACGCTTTTTTCAGGTGAAAACATTTTATTTTATAAACATGAGCCACCTATAAACTTTTTCTTGCTAATCTGCTTTACTACTTCATAATTAGTCTACTTAAACTATATTCTGTGCACTATAACCTGGTGAATAATTGACTGTACCTTTGCTCCCACATCAACAGTATCTGTTCAGTCATTTTAATATTAAATATCCAGCAAGCTTAAATGAGATTACTTGTTGGTAGTACTTTGGCTGCACAATATTTATGCAGTCATATCAGTTTACTTTATTTTTAGAAGTAGGATTGCTGTACTGTAGTTGGTTTATAAGGAGTTTCAATTTGACTTAAAATCTTAAGTGTTATGCTGAGTACAAAGAAATACTGCTTTTAATAACAACTTTCATTTTTTGCATTTATCTCAGCTATTTCTAATTTTTAATTGAAGAAACCACAAACAGTAGTACTTGCACTGAGGCTGCTGTGGTGGTGGTCTCAGAGTGGCTATTGTATAGGACACTCGACAGAAGCAGAATAAAGACAAAGAGCATACAACAAATTACAACCTTTTTTGTACAAATACAACATGTTGTAGCTGATAATCCTTTGAAGTAACCCTCTAAAATTACTTCACCTATGCTAAACTAAATATTACAGTGCTTTATTTTAAGTCAAGTTTATGGTGTGGATTTGTTGCTAAAAGTATCTTATTTCAAGATTTTGGGGGATCTTAATACAGTAAATTAAGATCATTATTGTATTGAATAGGCAGCCTGCTGTAATTTTATATGGGGCTGAGTATTAGAATGGAATAAAAGCTAGAATTCACATGGGGATTTCTTGCTAGAAATATATTTGTTACACCATGATGAAGTGTATTCAGAAGAGGGCAAGAGGTGGAGCATTTATAATCTTTATATTACTGTTTTCATCCTCTCTTAGAATTAGAAATAAGAAGACGGGAGGATGAGTACAGATTTACAAGTAAGTGAACTCTCCTCGTGTCCTCCTCTGCAATATTTACCCTTTGAAATTAACATTAAAACATGGTTTTTGTGATGATTTGATTGAAATTACTGGCCAGATTTTACTCGATTTACTCCCAGAAGTAGTTCATTGACTGCTTTAACGATGTCTGTGACTGAGGTAACCACGGTTTCTAATCCTAGGTGGACGGCAGGTAAAGTTTACCTGCTGCTTTCTAAAGATACCTTACATAAGCATTTGTATTTTTTTAAATGATAAAACTAATGAAAGCTGAGACTTATTTACTCAAAATTGAGGTATTTGAACTCTATGAATTTCTGCTACCATCTATGTGAGGCTAAGGGAAATGTAAATCATTACCTTGTAGGTAATGCCTTGTGTCAGCTTTTGTCAACATTAACCAGGCAAGGTTTGATATGTAGGTTTGCCGTGTTGTGTTTGTACTCTGACAGTCAGGACAGCTTTGTCCGTCTTACTGACACTTGTACACGTTTGCATAGTTCTCAAGAGGCTTTTCTCCCTAACCTGAAGTGTACTGTAAAGCTGGCTTCTTTAATTTCATATGCTACCTGTGACCAGTAATCGGGCTTCTGCAGACCAGTTCATAAATTAATTCACATCTGTTCAATTCCATCATCTTAAATTTCAAAATCCTGCACTGCAATTAGAGTTAAAATTATGTTGATGGGTGAGTGTGAATAAAATCCAGCACTGTATTACTAAGGAATAAAGAAATGTGTTTAAAAAAAAAAATAAACCAAACAAATAAAATCCCCACCCCCAAACCTCCCCTTACATTACCATTAAATGTACCCAGGTTTCAGAACTGTTGTTATGGGATAGTTTTGTATAGTCACTTTTCACAGCATAACTGGATTTTGTACATATTAGTGTTGGCCAATTTTACATTTGCCTTTATACCTTACTTATTGTCCTACCTATGTACTTTTATTTTCCTTTTTTCATATAAAGCAGGGTACTTTATGTATATGTGAGACCTGGATGTTTCTAATTGGCTTGCTTTAAATTTAGAATGTTTTAGATGAGTGCCTACAGCATTGCTGTTTGTGCTTGGAAATCTCTTCAAACTTTTAAAAATGTGTGCGCGGAAACATAAGTAAATGCAAATCCTCTTTTGCAATGTGTATGCCAGCTACATTTGTTTGAATCTGTATGTATTTTCTTAGACAATTACAGGTTTGAAGAACAAAACTATAAAACTGGGTGGGCAAAATATGGCCCACGGGTGGGATCCAGCCTGCCAATTGACTGTATCGAGCCCACGGTTGCCTCTGCAGTGCTCCACACAGGCCCGAGTCCTCTCTGGGGCAGCCTGCACCACATTCTGGCCTGTACCCACCAAAGACACCGCCCTGGCCCTGCCCAGTATGTACAGCTTTCTGGTGGGGGTGCTCCTGCTGCTGCTGCTACAGCCACCCAGGTACTGCTCGGCTCCCCCCAACTCCAGTGGCTCCTTCTGCTCCTGCTGTGCCACTCCTGCCAGGCAGGGCAGAAGCTGCAGCCAGACAGGTCCTTCCCCAGTGTGTGGGGCTCTAGCTCCAGCTGCCTTCCACCCCCTTGGCTGCTTGGCACGATGAGCAGCCACCTGTGGGCAGCCAAGGGGGTGGAAGGCAGCTGGAGTGGCACAGCAGGAGCAGGGGGAGGACGAGCCTCTAGAGGTGGGGAGAAACCGAGCAGCACCCAGACAGCAGTGGAAGCAGCCCCATCAGGAAGCTATGCATGCTGACCAGGCCAGGGCAGTTCTGTTGGTCAGTGTGGACAGGAGTGTGGCGTGGGTTCCTCAGGGGGAGCAGGCATGGCTTCGCCTCATGCAGAGCATCATGGGCCGGATGGGAGCAGAATGGGGGGTGGAATGCACCTCCTTGCCCTGCTCCACTCTGCTGCATGTGTGCCTCCCTCCCCCTCCCCTGGTTGGCTTCCTGGACCTAGTGCATGGGCAGCCCCCCTACACGCGCACACCCATCCTCCCACAACACCCACGTGCACACACCCACCCACACATGCACACCCTCCCTCCGCAAAATATGTAAGAATAAATTTTATATTTTGGGCTATTATGCAATTGCATCTATATACACTATTCAAAAAAACATAAATCAGGACCACAATTATTTTTTTAAATAAAAAAATTAGAATAGTGCAGGGGTTGGCAGAATATGGCCCATGGGCCAGTTCTGACTCACAGAAGGACTTGGCAGCCCGCAGCGAGCCCTTGGTCTTGCCTGGCTCAGGGGCCGTCTGGCTCCTGCTGCATCCTGCCACCCCCAGATGCACAGCGGGGCTGGGGTGGCTCTGTGTCCAGACTTCATTTCTCAGCAGTTCTAGCAGTGGTGGCCCTATCCAGCTGCTGCTGCCACTGGTCCTAACTCCGTGGAGACCAGCCAGGATCTGTGTGGGCAGGGTCTGAGTGCCAGGCTGAGTACATAACCCAGTCCCTGGCCTGTCTTGCACAGGTGGTTGGGTTCCCTGCAGTGCCTGACCTGCCCATGATGAGTTATGGTGGAGGCTGGGCAGAAGCTGCTGCTCGATGAGGGAAAGAAGTGGGGCCTGGTGGCAGGTGCAGCCACCTATCCCTCACTGCTGCTGGGCCCTTGCTGCTGCCACCGCCTGGAGACCACACTGGGCCTCTTCCCTGATGCCGCCTCTGGGCTGCCTCGCACCCAGCAGGGCAGTGGCAGTGGGAAGGAGAGCCCCAGCATAACTCCCAGGTGGCAGCAGTGAGAAGGGCCTGGCAACAGCAAAGGGGGAGGTGGGTGTGCCTGCCCCTGGGGCCTGTTTTTTTCCCACTCGGGGTAGAAGTTTCTGTTTGGCTGTTACCACTCACTGTGGCTGCAGTGGGTGGGTCTGGAGCAGGCGCTGCAAGGACCCTGACCCCCTACGTGCGGTGGGTTGAGGCCGGGGCTGTGCACTGGTGGCAGCAGGGAGGGAGAGCCCTGGTGCAGGCTTTGGGTGGCCACAGCAAGAAGGCCCCTGCAGCAGGAAGGGGGAGGCAGCCGTGCTCACTGCTGGGCCCTGCTTTTTTCCCTGCACCAAGCAGTAGCTTCTGCTGAGCCACCCAAATAATTGCCCACCCCTAGTATAGTAGATGTTTGACTTGTTTTAGCTATGAATGGTTAAAATGATATCTTCTGAAAGATTTTGTGTGTGACCCTCAACAACTCACCAAAACTCGTTAAGTGGCTTGCCAGCCAAAATAGTTGCCCACCCCTGCTCTAAAAGATTACAAGAAATCTCAGTTAAAAACTTAATTACATATGCAACAGTTGTGCCAGATACCCTGCCAGTTCACATTAAACCTGGTTCTCCAACAATGGTCCTGTTGTTCATTTCAGAACTGCTGCAGATTGCTGGAATCAGTCCACATGGTAATGCTTTAGGAGCATCAATGCAACAGCAAGTGAATCAGCAGATGCCTCAGGAGAAACGTGGAGGCGAAGTACTAGATTCAACCCATGATGACATAAAGCTTGAAAAAAGTAATATTTTGCTGCTTGGACCAACTGGGTCAGGTGTGTAATGGAACGTTTGTATAGATTCCAAGTCCTCTATGGTACACATTAGTATTTGCTGATGTATAGGATTGATGTAGATAATATATTTGAGGATATTTTTGTTACCAGTTGTAAATAAAAGCATGGCATGTGACTAAAAGCAGAGAAATGCAAGTAATCTATTTAAACTGAGAAAGTTGAAGGGAAGAGCTGTTACAAAAGAAATCTTGCCAATCCTGCCTTTTGACGAGCGGGTCTCAACCACAGTTTTCAGTTGCATGCAATTCCTTTCTCCAAAGCATGAGACTTCCTAAGAAATAGAGAGCCTAAGGTGTGTAGAAGTATGAGTAAGATGCATCCCATTTGATCACTCCTAAAGACAAAAATCACGGAGCATTTTAGCCTTTAGTCACCCAATTTTGTGTGTGCGTGTTTGTGTGTGAGGGGGTGCCTTAGCTAATTTTGTTGCTTTGGCATCTTGATTGCTGTATGATATCCAATGCAGATTTCTAGTAGTATTTTACAACTAGGACATAAGCATGTTAAAGCAATGTGTTGAGGTGTTCCAACGATCTGAAAATCTCATTGCAGGTTTCCGTTAACTAAAATAACATTTGGTAGCACTTTAGTATCTGCCTTTTTGATAAGATGTGGTGGATTGCTATGAACTAATATCTATTGGCAGAATGAGTTACTGTTCTTGAAAGACAAATATATATATATGGAGTTTTCCCCCTCCTCCCCATATTCACACAGCTCATAGGATTAACACAGAGAGTAAGGCTGGAACGGACCTCAAGAAGTCATCTCATTCCAGCCCTCTGTCTGAGGCAGGCTCATCCTATATAAACCATCATATACAATTCCAGTTTTGTGCTTGAAGGCTAATCCCCAACCCCCATCAAAATGCTGAAAAGCTTGGGTTTGTCTACAAGGAACTTCCTTGTCTTGTCCTAGACTGGAAACCTGCATGTAGGTAAATTGACAAATGAAAGCCAGCTCTGTTATGAAGCTCCTTTTGTAGAGGGCAATAATGTAGCTGGTTTTCACTGAAAATTAAGGCTTATCTATTAACTGCCTTCAGTTAATTCATTTATGGACCAGAAGTCTGGAAACTTTTCATTTAACATGGGGTTTTGAGAATGACCTCCTTGTCACCAGACTGTATTCACATGGGCATCAGTGAATAGCCAGATTAGACCTTTACGTAATGTATTTCGATATGCCGCAAGCATAGCATGAGTTCCCTGTGTCAAGAAATGTTAGTCTAGCATAGTTCTTTTGGGCAGCTGTGGCTAAATATTAGGAAAGATAGAAGGAAGTAAAAATGGAAGGCACGTAATAAGCAACAAATTAGCTGTTTTAGCCTGAGTCACAGTAAAGGTGAACTGAAACAATTTGCTGTAAGTTGAAGCATACATAAAACAAACTGAAATTAGTTTTACATTACTGTAATACAGTTAATATAGCAAACACAACTAGATTATATTACAGCTCTCTCCTTTCCAACTGCCAGATTTTAAGTCTCTTTGAACTAACTAGTTTTCTGCAAAATTAAAAATGCATTCCATACAATAAATTATTTCATGCAACAAAGAACCTTGACTGTAATCATCAAGCTGCAAGGTAGAAAGTATCCCTGTAATGTGTCCCTGTAGTGTGCATCTGCAAATCGTATTTTCAGATATTAACAAATGAGTGCCAATATTTTATTTAAAACTCTAGAACTCTTGGCTTGGTGAGGATACCTTTTATTAGACCAACTAAGAAGTTCTGCAATTTCTTAGTTGGTCTAATAAAAGGTGCCATCTCTGAACCATGTTTTAGAGACAGCTTTGAGCATGTGGATAAAATGTCATTAAAATATTCAGTTTGCTGGGGACCAAAGTTGATAGCACATGCTATTTTAGAACAGACCTATCTAAAATAATTATCGATGGAATTATGAACGTTAATTGTCTAATGACGAATGATGGTTCTGGAAGGAGAATACTTGTGGTTTTGTATATTGCCGCAGGATTTTTACAAATATTACAAAACAAGTTGTGTAAATATACGTGTGTTGGTTTTCTCCTAGGCAAAACCCTGCTGGCTCAGACCTTAGCTAAATGCCTTGATGTACCTTTCGCTATCTGTGATTGTACTACCTTGACTCAAGCTGGCTACGTTGGTGAAGACATTGAATCTGTCATTGCAAAGCTACTGCAGGATGCCAACTATAATGTAGAAAAAGCCCAGCAAGGTAAACTTGAGCCACGTGACTTCAGAAGCTCTGAGTAAACAGTTTGAAACTTAGCAAACCTTTCAAAAGTTTATGAACAGATGTAACAGGTTATTTGTTTCATGTCATCTAGCAAGTTGCTGAAGTAATGTTCAGCAATCTGTTACATTGCTTTAGCAACCTGTTCTCTTTAAGACTGCATTCATCTGAGTGCATAGGTTATATTTCTCTCTCCCAGAGAGAGCCTTCCTTAATTGCATTTTCTATAACTGTAGGAATTGTTTTTCTGGATGAAGTAGATAAGATTGGCAGTGTGCCAGGCATTCATCAGTTACGGGATGTAGGAGGAGAAGGCGTTCAGCAAGTAAGTACTTCATCCTTGTGGAACACTTCACCCATCAAGTCTCAGATCGTGTCTAAGTTTATAGATGCATATTTCATTAGCTTCTTCATTTTTAAACCCAGAGCACTTCAGTTACTATTCCACCACCCTTCTCTACCCTTTCTTTTCCCCCTAAAAAAGACCTGGATGAAACATGCAAGAGGCAAGATGCTTTTGTGGGTGGTCTCTTTCGTCGGACCCACTGTACAGTTAGAATAGACTTAGACAAACTTCTGGCTATCAGCACCCTTTCTCTGGTCTCAGATGAAATAATTTTGTCAGAAGGCATTCTTACTTGCTTTCAGCTGAAAGGTTAGATAAACTGGACAACAGTAGCTAATTTTTTCACTTTATTTAAATCCCTAAAGTCATTAAAAGTTCACGGACAAGTGAAAAATATTTAGAAATACCTTTGCTTATGTGGGAAAGAGCATGTGAGAGGTTGAAAGACCTAGATTGTGTTTCTGCTTCTCCCAGCATTTGGCCTTGGGTGAATTACTTGCAACTTATTAATTCCACTGAAGTAATGAAGGACCAAGTTACAAGAAAAAAAACGTCAGGACTCCATTATATACTTCAGCCCAGGGGCCAGATGGTCTTTAAACAGGATATTTGTTTTGGTGGTTCCTGCTTCACATTTGACATAGAATAAAAAAAATGACTGCAGTGAAATTACTGTCTTTCTGCCTAGAGCGGGGGGGCTGGACCCGATGATCTGTGAGGTCCCTTCCAGCTCTTTAAAAATCTATGAATCTATAAAATTTTATGTAGACCTGAAAAGAACCATACTGGCCTAATTCTCTTATTTGCATGTGGCCAAACCTTACTTTCATCAGTGTACGGCCACAAAAAATTAATTTTGTTACTTGAAGGAAGATTCTACCATCGAATATGGAAAATTTGATTTCTAAACTCCCTTCTTCTGTAGAAATGCAAAATAATTATAGTAATCCTTAATATCTTTATAGGATGTATGTTTTGCTGCTTTGGAATACAGTATTGATCCAGGCAAGCATCTTGCTTAGCCCTCTGGCACTTGATATTATTTGCATTGTGAGCCAAATCCAGCTTGCCCCAATTGTGTACTCAGTCACTGAATCCAGTGCGAGTAAGATGAGTGGCATTTGGTACACATTCTAGTTGAAAGTCACATCTAGACTATAAACTTACTTTGCCAGTGAGTAGTATCCTCATCCAGGCTATTCTGTTCCATACGTGTTAATACACACACGAGGAGCAGCGTAGGTGTCATGGTGCAGTGTTGCAGATAGTTAACAGCTTAACTTCTGGCAGTGTTAATTAGCCTGTATCAGTGCTCAGACATAGCTGGGTTGCTTCCAGGCTGGGAGGTGGTGCTAAGAAGACTGCCCGTCACATAAGTGTGCAGATTCTTTATTTAATTCCTTGTATTGACTGTGTTCCTTCCTAGGGCTTGTTAAAGTTACTGGAAGGTACAATCGTAAATGTTCCAGAAAAGAATTCTCGTAAGCTGCGTGGTGAAACGGTGCAGGTTGATACAACGAATGTCCTCTTTGTAGCTTCTGGTGCTTTTAATGGTCTGGACAGAATTATCAGCAGGAGAAAAAATGAAAAGGTGAGGATGCATGGTTTTAAAATAGCTCTTTTTGGTACCTCTTGGTAGCAGCTTTTAGGACTGGCATAGGGCAAATTGTATCTGCAGATTCCATTTTCTCTGTGCCTCAAACTGAATTCTGATATGAAGAGAGCTAAGTTTGAGGGGAAAAAAATCTGCCTTATTTGTTAAGTGGCATACCTGTGTGAAACTCAGTTCTGCATGTGATGGTAGGGCTTCAGTGGAGGAAATCCATTGAAAAAAGTTTGAAACTGAAAACAAACATTGGAAAAACTAGGGGAAACTTTTCCTGTTTTACGTGAGTGCCAGCAGCTTCACTTGTAATATCTGTTGGCCAAACAGACCGTGGCTATTATTTGTAATGTTTAGGTGAACAGAAAAAAATACTAGTTCAATTTCAACTTCTAGATCAGTAATTGGATATGTATAAGCTTCCTCTTTCTGGATGACATAATCAGCCTACCTAGGGCTTCTGGTAGGAGGAAGTTGAGTTGCTTTTGTTTTCAGTAGGGGAGATATCTAATGATAAGTTTGGAACTACTGCATATTTGGAAAGCTGTAGATTTTTTTTTTTTTGTGTAGCTAGTGTTTTTGACTGGGGTTTCATATAGATTTGGCTTAACTTTGTATTAACTTAGCTTCAAGAACGTATGGAGGTTGCAAGTAGATTATTTCAGCATGTGGTGTTGCAGATGATGCATGTTTTGCATGTGTAGCAAATCTTAGCTATCTAACAAGCCACAAATATGTGTGATGTCTGTTTTGCAGTATCTTGGTTTTGGGACACCCTCTAATTTGGGGAAGGGCAGAAGGGCTGCAGCAGCAGCTGACCTTGCTAACATAAGTGGGGAGACAGATGCACAACAAGACATTGAAGAAAAGGATCGCTTATTGCGCCATGTTGAAGCTCGAGATCTCATTGAATTTGGCATGATTCCAGAGTTTGTGGGACGTTTGCCCGTGGTGGTTCCTTTGCACAGCCTAGATGAAAAAACACTCGTGCGGATTCTTACTGAGCCACGAAATGCGGTGGTTCCTCAGTACCAGGCATTATTCAGCATGGATAAGGTGTGATTTTTGTCTTATTCTTTGACCTCTCTTCAGTACTTGTCTATATTAATGTCTGCTCTATGGCTAAAGAAAAGAGTCATCCCTTTGTTCAGAGGTAAGTAATTGGAGTTGTGTAAATGCATACTTGCTGGAGGATGTTTTTGTTCATTGAGACTGAATGATCGCAAGTAGATTCAGCTTGATGGAAGATTCTGTAATCTTGCTGTGAACTGCTTGCTGACTCCTCTGTTCTAATGTCAGATTCAGTGAGTTTTGAGCAGTTTTTATTTTTATCTCATGGCAAAGCAACATACGCTGCATAAAGGAAGCTGGAGGCTGCCACCAGTTGTTTTCCTGCCAGGAAATGAAGACTCCAAGATATAAGGAGTTGAGCAAGACCTTATTGCATGAATTGCATTTTCCTTAAATATAGTGATCAGATGACATAAAGAATGTGTAAATACTTACTCTTTTTCCCCCCTGTCTTCTGACCTCTGTATTATAATTTGCCAATTGTGTTTCCTAATTTCTCGTGAGAGAGATACGGAAATTCAGCAAATGCCCACGTGGACTGGTTTGACCAAACATACAGCAAACCTTTTGACATTATTTTGCTAGCTAGGTGTGTAATTTGTTCGGTTTTGATTCAAGTTAGCTTTGAAACCTTGAGTCCAGGAATCTAAAGGTATAAGATGGGGGGGGGGGGGTGTTTTTTTTCCTTT